CTGAGAGATAAATAGGCCTACACATGAGAGAGAACAGAACATACTTTAAAGTGGGTCAGACTTGCGTTCAAGATTTTGCTGTACTTACAACATGTGTGCCCTTAGGCAAATTGTCTTAGTCTTCTGAGCCTGATTTAATTAACTCTGAGTCACAGTATTGTTACAAGGCTTACAAGAAATAGCTTAACCTTGAATCCTTTCTGGAGCAAGATGGCAGATGACTTTCACAAATAAAATGGCATTGATATAACTATAAAAAGAACCTGGTATTTCACAGGTGCTCAAAGAAAGAAAAAAGACAAGCACTTTGAAAGTGACTCTGAGCAGTTATCGTATGCCTTTTATCTTCGACCTGGAGTTACATACAGAATTGAGTAGTCTCAGTTTTGTATTTTCTTACTTACTGATATCCCTTAGGGAAAAACAGCAAAGGGGAGAGAATAGAGATGAAGAAAGATTTATGGAGTTGACAGAAGTGTTGACAGCGGTGATCAAAAACAACCAAAGGAATTTACACTGCATTCCCAACTCTGAGACTTTGGAGTCTTCAATGTTTAACAGACCAGAAGTTAAAGAGAAGAGAAATGGAAGTCTAGGGCTTGATGGCTCACATCTGTAATTCTAACTACTCTGGTAGCTGAGATCTGAGGAGCATGGTTCAAAACCAGCCCAGGCAGGAAAGTCTGTGGGACTTTCATCTTCAAAAAGCCAGAAGTGTGGTTGTGGTTCAAGTCAGAGAGCACCAGTGTAGAGTGAAAAGGCTAAGCAACAGCACTTAGGCCCTGAGTTCAAGTTCAGTAGTGGAACAAAGAGACAGAGGGAGAGAGAGAGAGAAGAAATGAGCCCCACACGCATGCAATACCATCACTCAGGAGGCTAAGGCAGGAAGAGATTAGTGGGGGCCCAATAGTGAGTATGAGGCCAACCTGGGTTACCTAAACTCTGTCTCAAAGAAAAAAGACGGGAGGAGAAATAGGAAGAGAGGGAAACGCAATCACTGCTCTGCCTTTGTTTCTGGCAGGCAGCAGCAGGTCGGGCATTTCCCTCCCTGAAACCTTTACCTTGTCGGCAGTAAAGCAAACAAATAACAATTGCCACTTGGTTTCCTGTTGGCTCATGGGATAAGAGGGTGGAGAAGCAGCAGGTAAATGATCTAACTCACAAAACTTCTGGACTTAGCCCTGTTTCTCCGCGGTTCCTTCTTTGTCTCATACTTGACAAATGGATGTACCCTGTCTTTTTCAAGGGAGGAGTTTACCAGATTTGCCCCAAGAACTGAGAAAGAAGGAAGAAGAATAGAGGGAGGCAAGGGAGAAATTTTTACCAGAAGACTAGGTGAAAGGTTATAAACAACGTCGTCCAGACTTCCATTTCAGAACATGCCTTGGATGTAGGCCCAGAAAGCAGCTGCTGCCACAATTAAACAGTTTTTTGGCATTCAGGAGGAGTCAGGCACAACGTAGAGCAAAGCAGTGGTCTGCCCTGAGCTCCGGAGAAGGAGAAAAAAAAATCTAGAGAAATATGACTTGTAACAGGATTATTACAAACTCAAAAATTCAAGCAAGGGGCTCATGCCTGTAATCCTAGCTATTCAGGAGGCTGAAATCTGAGGATCACGGTCCAAACCAGTCAGGGGAAGAAAAGACCATGAAACTCCCAGCTCCAATAACCAGCAAAAAGCCAGAAGTGGAGATGTGGCTCAACTGGTAGAGTACCAACCTCGAGCAAACAAACAATGGGCTGGGAAGGTGGCTCAACAAACAAGCTAAAGGACAGTGCCCCAGGCTCAGAGTTCAATCCTTAGTACTGGCATACACACAGAAAAATTAGTACTTCATATTATGTCTTCAAATAAGTAAATATTATCACACTAAAAAAAAACTACTTTATTTTTCCCAGGGAAAGGGAATTCTCTCTTTTCTAAGACATCCAAAATCAACACTTCGCTGACCCAATACCAACCACATTTATATATATGTATCACATTGCTAAACAATACCATTCATGGTCTATTGGTGTTTTTTGTTGTTGTTCTTGCTGTTGGGTTTTGTGTGTGTGTGTGTGCTGGTTCTGGGCCTTGAACTCAAGGCCAGTAACTCAAGGCCAGCCAACTCTCTGTCCTTTAGCCTTTTTTTTTCCCTCAAAACTAGCACTCTACCACTTGAGCCACAGCTCTACTTTTACCATTTTGCTGGTGAATTGGATATAAGAAATTCATGGACTTTCCTGCCCCAGCTGGCTTTGAACTGTGGTCCTCAGATCTCAATCTCTGGGGTAGCTAGGATTACAGGTGTGAGCCACCAGTGCCCAGCTGATTCATGTATTTTTGATGTCGCCCTCTGTCCTACTTCTTAAGTATTCTTGGAGCTAAGGGATTGTTTTTCACAGACTTGCGACTTGTGAGCCAGGAATAGTCACCTCTAAATTAGTTACACTGGATAAGATTAGGCACAGAATACTCTCCTAAGCACATTTTCCTTTTTTTTTTTTTGGGTCCAGTTGGGGGGCCTGAACTCTGGGCCTGGGCACTGTCCCTCAGCTCTTCAGCTCAAGG